GTTATTAAATTAGAGGTCGAGAATGGTAGATGGAATAAGATTCCACTCCAGTGTCGTTTGTATTATCTCTGTAACTTAAATTCGATCGAATATGAATTCCATTTTACATTGATTTGTCCTTTCTTTTCTCAGATCAGAAATCGATTTAATCCAAAATTGTATTATACTCTTCCTTGCATTTACAAATTTTATTTATCATTATGTAACATAAATTAAACACATTAAACACAAAAAGTACAAATTTTGTTTAATTTGCTGATGTTAACGGCTAATATATCGACAAATAAACACGGTTTTTTAAATGCTTCAATTAATTCATTTTACACTTTTCTCAAGACATTTTATAGTAACTTAAATAATTGTTTACTCTTGCTCAACGCAAAGTTTTCAACTTACATTTCTGTAAAAAAAAAAGTAAAAATATAGTAAAAATGTTTTATTAAATTTTGAGCATTGTATTTTTATGAATCTGGGTGGTTGAGGTTCTCATGCTAACACAATAGTGATTAAGTTTGCTATTTTATTATTATATTATTATATTATATATATTATATTATATTATATTATTATATTATTATATTTTATTATTATATAATCGCCAGTGGCCTATATATTGATGATGAATAAAACCCCAGTTAGGGTAACGAAGACAATAAATTGAAACGTACAATTTGATGGTACATTATTATTACTATTCTATATATGTTGGACGCCGTATCCGAGGTTACACATAAAATTACATTTCAAATAATCATTTAAATATAGCGATCTTTGTTTCAATAAACAATTAATTACATGCAATCATATAAATTAGTTAATTCTAAACAAAAAATACACCTATTCACCTCGTACCGAATCAAGTATTTAATTTGTGTTTTATTTATTTATTATTTTTTTTTTTAATCGAATAATTTTAGAGAGTGAAAGTGAATGTGTTGAATTAATTCATTGGGTCGTTTGTCGTTCGTTTGAATTCGTTCGTTTGTCCATCTGTCCGTTCTTTTGAATTGATTTATTGTATGCCTTCCTAAGGCTTCCTTCGTCCATCATTGATCTTCCTTCCATCAAGCCATCCATTTATCTATCCATCATGCATGTCATCATGCATGCATCCATCTATCCATGTATCTCATCCCGTTATCTCATCCATACACACACCATCAGTAAATTTTTTTTTTAAATTTATTTATTCAAAGGAATGAATAACTAAACCTTTGTCAGCAAACATCTTCAACTCCTTAAATACACTTATTTATTATAAAAATATGATGCTAAGACCTTTGTGTATATATATAAGTTACTGTATCACTCTGTCACAAGAGTAGGGACGCTGGCGTAGTGCATTCAAAACCTGGTCGGATTTTTGGTTTGGGTCGGATGTGAATGCAGCCTTATTTAATGAAGATCACTCTTGGCCTAGTTTATCATTGTTTCTAAACTCTGTTTTGCAACGGTCTACTTCTAGAGTTAAAATTTAAATTTTGCCTGTTTGTCGAATCTGTTTTACAGCAAAACGTTGATTCGATGGCCGATCGAAAACTACTGGACATGAGTGCATAAATAAATGGATTAACGCAGCTATTAGATACTCTAAGTAGATTAGCAAAAATGAACCAGGGTGTCGCGGAAAAATAGTATACATTGTTTATAATCCAAAAACGAAAAATTGCACTCGGTGACGTCATGCACAGAAAGACAACAGCCACGGTGATCACTGTTTTTAGAGCCTGAAGAATAGACGAAAATTTTCAGTGCCAACCATTAGTGGTTGTAGTTAAGTAACAATTATTGTTGTGTCTTCTTAATAATGTGACCATTATATAATTATTTATTATAATAATAATAATAATAATAATAATTATTATTATTATTATTATTATTATTATTATTATTATTATTATTATTATTATTATTATTATCATTATTATTATTATATATTAACATATTATTGTTAACAATTGTGAACGCATTTCATTCAATAAGCTAGATTATATTCCTACCTTTTTTTGATTTCTGAGAGAAATGCCTGTGGACACGTTAATTTGATTGGACTCCTGTAAACGATTACTGTGTATTCTTTTAATAAGTGTTACAGCTGTAATGATGCAAGATACTACAACGATGACTGCCGGAATTATAAATTGTGTTGTAGGTTGCCACTTGTCAAACTCGTCATTTAGATCAACAACCAAATTGAAGTCTTGCTGCAGAATTATAACATATATTTGTTATTGGTTAACAACTAAATCAATTTTATAGACAAGATGCACACTATGTGGAATGACCAACATAAGTGCATGGTATTTACTATTTAGCGACATGTTCAGCGGCATTTTTACGGAGGGAAGAAGAGCACTTGGAGTGCACGTCAACCAATACTCTTGATCCCAACAGGATCCGCCACTAGAAAAATTTGGCAAGTAACGTCCCTCACTTTAATCATCGAGCTTCCTACTTATTGCGCCAAAAACCAATATATAACTCCTATAGATACACCACTGAACACGTTCAAATCGAATGATGTAGGCCTACATAAAACCTATTCTACACAACAATGAAAGATTAACATGTTGAAAGTGTATGAATCATTATTGTCATGTGTGCTAGGCCTATTTTTGTTACTCGGCACTAAATTGGGAATTTATTTAACTTATTAACTACTATTTATAAAAACAATGGCAATTAATCAACGGGCTACTTACAGAAGAATATAAAAAAACATGAATTGAACACAAGATTGAAATCACCCAGATACCGGCTGTAACTAATAGTTTTCTTTTGAAAGTGATGACAGTGCGAACTCTGAGTGGGTATTTCAAAACGTAACATCTTAAAATAGAAGAACAATAATCAAACTTCACTAGCAGTCTCATAATGTTGAAGGATAATAAACTTATAGACCTGTATAAAGTACAGGCGAAGATACAAATACAAAGCTGGCGCCGCCTGTATACATTTTATACCAACAGAAAGAGATCGTGGTCCATTATTAGGCGAGCAGACTAAGCCCAAATGGACAACTACAGAAATTATCGAATTGGAAATCGATAAAAAAAAATTATAATAAATATATTGATTGTAAAGATTATTATGGTTATGATTATAATGATTCTAATAATTATAATGCTTATAATAATTATAATAAGAATAAGACAACAAATGTGTTAATGATCGACTAACCTACAGTAGTGGCATCAATACATAGAACCATTAGTCCAACAAAGTAGTTTGCTTAATAATAATAATAATAATAATAATAATTATAATAATAATAATAATTATTATTATTATTATTATTGACATTATTATTATTATTATTATTATTACTATTACTATTACTATTACTATTACTATTACTATTACTATTACTATTACTATTACTATTACTATTATTATTATTATTGTTATTGTTATTATTATTATTATTATTATTATTATCATCATCATTATTATCATTACCAAAATATACTGCATTTCCACTAGATAGTTTATAGCTGATCTATACTTACTTACGGTTAACCTTTTATATACTTCAAGAAATATTCAACTTTATTTTAATTTCCTCTTTCCACTTAAAATTGACATAGAATTACCATATGACGTTTCAGTGTGTATCTCCCCCCCCCCCCACACACCCACACACACACCCACTAACACACACACACAAACACACATAATGGATCTACTGTTTCGTGTCAGAGACCAAGGTGTAATATTTGTAAACATGTATACTCAACCAACAAACTTTAAGGACCGTCTTGATATGTTAAAATATATGATAATTTCACATGTACTTCTACGAATCTTATTTATGCAATAATTTTCCAGAAATGCATTACATTGGAGAAACCAAAAGGCGACTGGCTGATAGAATAACAGAACATTTAAGATCAATTATACTAGCACTACCTGGATGCCCAGTTGCATCCCATTTTAAGACAGGACATAATGTTGATAATGATTTTGTAGTTACTGGAGTCAAAATTTGTAACACTACTGATACATCTAGGAAATTTTTAGAAGAAGAAGAATAATTTTTAAACTTAACTAGTATTATTTAATTCATTTAGATTATAATTCAGCGGGTATATCATTGTACATGTATGTCTAGTCTATATTCATGGATTATTATGACATATATTCATAGGCCTATCTTATAATTTGGTTTACAAGCTGGTATCTTTAGATTGGTTCTTCATACATTGTACACCCTTGTGGCTATTGTTTTTACACTCCGGGATCGGGCATTGCTATTGTTGTAATTTTGGCCATTGTATTGTTTAAATTTTGCTTTTGTTTCTATGAGTACCAGCCCATCATTGACCAAGCATGTCTTTATGTTCATGCGTTCTGTTTAAATAATATTTCTCATTGGTCAGTTTATCATAAGCTTTACTTATCCCAATATAGTGGAACATCAGTTCGAAATGCATTGTAAGTTCACGGAGAGCAATTTTACCCCGACGCTATTACATCAATACAGTAGTAAAGATGTTGGTTCGTTTGTTTTCTGTAGTTTCTCCACTCAGTCAAATTTTACCCCGCTCGCGGAAGGGCGGATGTTCCATTAATTTTAATGCAAATACACGGAACAGCTCATTCTTCTGCTATTTAACTTCTTTGGTATTATGTGTCACTTGAGAAAGTCCTATGGTCGGTCGTAAACGTTCGTGAGCATATTTTATTTCAAATAAATTGAGACAAATTAACAACCTCGTCTGTTGTTTTATTGTATATATATATATTTAGCTGTTGCTTATCATTTTTGTATCTCTACTGAGATCCAGCCATTGTTTCCCACAGCATTGTTGTTTTCCATTATTTTGCCTTTTAATCTATATATCATTTTCTACTGTTTGTATCATTTTGATCCAACTCTGCTGTAATTCTGGAGGGTACTTTGGACAATTTCAAATTTCTACGACGCTTGTCGGAAAAGCGCGTCAGGTATCGTAACCATCTT